AACTATAGTTGTTCATACATTGTAAAAAATCTTTGAATGCAAGTCCAAATATCTGTACAAACAGAAATGGGTAATAAAAGTTATGCTATTGTATTGTTCTTAATTTGTACATGAAACAGCACAATGTTGACTAAAAGGACCTTGTGATAAACTGATAATACAGTTTTATAATCCTTACAGTGTCTCTACTTTAAAAAAAAATTTAGACTGTGATAAGCTCAATGGTAGATCTAATGTAATATCAATAATTACATTAAATACATGTGAACTAAAATTACAAATTGAAAAGCAGATGTTGACAGACTTGATAAGAAAGACCCAAGCATGATTATTCTGAGATGTTCTTTAAATGTAAAGATAGAAACAGGCCAAAAGTTAAAGTACAAGAAAAATATACTGCCCAAACAGTTAAGTATAAAATGTTGGTGTGGCTAGATTAACACTGAACAAAAATTTTTCTAGTACAAGAAATGCTGCCAGGGTCGTTTTCCAATAATACATAAGTTTATCAAAAAAGTGACAATTCTAAACTTATATGCACCTAAAGATCAAGCTTCAAAATCTATGAAGCAGAAAATGAAAGAATTAAAGATACAAATTCAGAAGGATTGCAGATTTTAATACCTTTCCTTACTGATAAAACAAGTACTAAAACAGGTACATTAAACATCAGTAAGAATGTGGATTTAATCAATACTATCAATTAGCTTGACTTAATTGACAGTTTATAGACCTCCGTATAACCAACCATGTCAAGAACATCTGACATTTTCGTCAAACTAGACCAATTATAAACCATAAAATAAGTCTCTAGATATAAATTCAATATATAAAAATCACTGACTTTCCATTTCTATTATAATAACCAACATTTGGGAATTAAAAATTTAAAGAATATCACATACAAAAGCAAAAGAATTCTAAAATGCATATGAATAAATTTTACTATAGTTACTTAAGACCTAAAACCTAAACGATGCTGAGATAAAATTTCTTAAAGACTCAAATAAATGATGTGATGTATCATGTTCAAGGACCAAAGGATTCAATACAGATGATACGCTAGGTTTCCTAAAATTAGTTTATAGGTTCAACACAAGTTCAACCAAACTTCTGTCCGATTTTTGGTTGAAATATATAAGCTGATTCTTAAATTTATGCAGGAATGCAAAGGATGTACAATAGCCAAAACAAACTTTAAAAAAAAGAGTAAAGTTAAGGACATATATTATCTGGTATTAAGACTGACTTCTTATATGCATACAGCAAGGGTGTGAGGACAGGTGACTAGATCAGTGGAATACAATGGAATTCGGAAACCAACCCACACATAGAGTCAGTTGATTTGCAGCAGCAGTACCAAGACAATTTAAAGGAAGAAGGTCACCTCAGACTTACTTAAACTATATCATTTTTATATTAGTTTCCATATTTTACATGTCAGTGTTAAAGGCAGAGAGATGTGACTCAGTTGTGTTCTATATAAAAGCCAGAGTTAGCACATCAGGAGCACCCCATGTGAAGAGTTTGTTGCCTGTACTTGAATCAGAAGGCAAAACAATTATCAGTAAGTTATGTGACATCTGTATTAAGAGCTGATCAATGTTTTCAATAAAAAGGTTCTGATAATTGTACAATTCATTTCTGGGAGCCACTATTTAAAAAAATAGCTAGAAAAAGACAGGCATGGTGACTTACGCCTTATATCCCAGCACTTGGGAGGCAGAGACAGACAGATGTCTGTAAGTTTGAAGACAGTCTGATCTACATACCAAGCTCTAAGCCAACCAGGGCTACAGTGAGACCTCATTTAAAAAAAAAAAAAACTATAAAAGGATTAAATGAAATATGTACACTTTTTATTGAAATTGAACAAATTGTTTCCAGAGATAACTTTTCTTTCCAAGATACCTTTAATTTGGTTCAAATCTTTGATGAATATTAAAATCATAGTCAGAAACTCATATCAAACTAGGCTCCTTACCGTTGGAATGTCCCCAGATATACAAAGCACTATGCACATTTATTTGCTCATTCTGTATTTATCATGAACCAGTAAACACCAGGCATACGATGACAAGCCATGTATCTCTCTGTCACCACTTTCTCATGTAAAAAGTGCAGAGGATTTTTTAAGGCTTGAGTAAAGGAAGTACTCTGTCATACTAGATTATAAATTAGTAGTGATTGAGCATTGTAGACTGTCGTCTCATGTGCCTTATGATTTCTCTTAGTGCTAGCCAATAGGAACATAATGAAAGCACACATAAAATTTTATATTTTCCAACAGCCACATTAAAAAGTATAACTAGGTGAATCCAGTTGAATAATATATCTCAGTTAACATGTCTAAAATACAGTCATTTCAGTGTATAATTAATGCATATTTATTTACTTTTTGCAGTGCTAGAGATCCAACCTGGAACCCTGCACATGCTAGGCGAGCACTGACCTATACCTCCAGCTTCAATATTTTTGCAGTTATTGAAGAAACATTTTGACTTTTGTGCCAAACTTTCAAGATTCAATGCCTGTTTAATCCAAGGCATCTGTTTGGAAAAGACCCATTTAAAATACTCAGTAGCCACATGTGGGGAGCAACCCTCTTATTAACAGTGTGCACTTGTATGAATCAACTCCCATTCAGCTACAGGCTGTTGAAGTTTGCAGCTGGATTCCAGAAAGAGAACTGATGGTGTTTCTGATGCTAAAGGAGATCACTGTATCCAGGAAAGAACTTCCATTATTCTGTTACTAGAAGTTTAAGACTTGTGGTCAAAATGAACTAATTCTGTTATGGCTGTATAACTCTCTGAAAGAATCCCAAAGTTTTACTGAATTTGGAGACAGACCTGAACAGCCAGTTTGCAAATATATCCAAGTGGTCTTTGAGAATTGTAAATCTTTTCAGTGTTCAGTGGTCCCTCCAATGATGATACAGTTTTTCAAAACCCTAAAAATTATTGCTACTCAAATCCCTTAGTAAATATTTGTGGGATGAGTGATGAAGTGAGCCAGTAGCCCACGTATTATTCTCTGATACACAAACAAAATACTTTTAGTTCCAGGTTAATAAGCTCGTGTTTATGTCCATGCTTGTCTTCTGTTTAAAATTCATTTGCATCTTAACATAATAATTTTTGTTCCTCTACCTTAGGGTCATTATATCCATTAAGCTATACATTTCCTTATTTTCAAGAATATGGCTAATTTATTACACTGTGCATAAAGAGCTGTTTTGGATTCTGAATTTATAATATCTCATCAAGACTGAATTTCAGCTATGATTTAGAAAGGGAATGAGTTGGAACCAGTTTGGATTTAGTTATTGTTTCAACACTAATGTTTATAAATTCATCACCAGGTGGGTGGTAGCACCTGTCTCCACTCCCTCCGAATCACAGTCACCTGGGATGCAGAATTGCTAGGCCCACTGCTGAGTCAGACTGTCTGAAGGTGGTCTTTAGGAATTTGCATGGGTGACAAATTCCAAGGGAGAGTCATCTCACATTGAAGTTTAACAGCTACTGTCTTCCAGTGAAGTTCCACATTACTGTAACTAAAGAGAAAATGACATACTACCATTTCATCAGTTCCATTACTGGAATAAATGCTATTTTCAATATTTCCTTAATTGTTCACTACCTTTTCTGGACATTTTATTATGTACTGTAATTTCCCTTTAAGTAAAGTTTCATTGTTCTGGAAAGCTCCTTGACTTATAGGTTATAAATGATGGATTCTACTAGAGTCAAATTATATTTATCATAAATGAGCTAATGTCTAAAATCAAATTGTCTAGGACCCAGATCATATTCTTGTGCACTTTCTTCTAGTCTCTGTAATGTTTGTGACAGTGTCGGGAAAGGTGTGCCTTGTTTCTTTTTCTTTTTTTTTTTCCTATAAAATCATTTTAAGTGGACTTCAATTCAATCACAGTCCTACAGAAAGCTATTGAACCAGACACAAGTGCTGGAGCTTAGACAGTGAATCTGACTCAGTGTCTGCCCTTTAAGGGGTCATAGCCTCAGCAAGGCAGTGGTGAGAGGCACAGAAGCCTTGTGTGAAAGGTAATGCATGAGGACACCAAGGGCAGAGCAGAGAGAAGCAGGGTGCCCAGGAAGGAGGCTGGGCTTCAAGGAGGTAACCACATGCTTGCCACAAAGCAGCTTTCTTCACGACCCTGCCCTTCAGAAGCACACTGGCCGTTTTCTCACACCCAGAGCTCCCTGTAGTAAGATCTTAAGAATACATTTCCTTTTCAGGTCCTTAGATGCCATTTAATTCACTCTAGCAATCACTACATAGGAACCTATCTTTAAAAGATGCCAAAAGCAATGTGCTGCTAATTTATTGCCACATCTATTAAAACTCTAGAGAAAATCTAACTCTCTGGGTTTTAAATATAGTTGAGATATTACAGTGATGTTTCCTGATTTAATCCCTTCATAAATTAGATAAAATGATGATAGGACCTGTTGTTACTTCATTCTTGCCCTCTCACCAATCACTCTTCTGCCTTCGTTAATTCAGAATAAAATACCACAAGGCATTAGTGGAGATAGGAGGGCTGCATTTTTATGACTTCAATATGAAATCATATTTAAAGATACCTAAGCCTTTACTGGAATAGGGAAAAAAGGGGGTGACGAAGATAGATAGAGAATTACTCTTATCTCTTGCAAACCTGGTAATAACCTTGCTAGATCGTTACAAGTGAGGAAACTAGGGTTCAGAAATACTAGTTTGTCCACATCACTCTACAGGCCATTACCAGAGTCCAACACACACCTGGATCTTCTGACTCTTAATACAAGGCTCTTTCATGCATAGCCTCAGATCTTCTGAGAATCTATTAAAACAGTTCCTTCAGTGTTTTGCAGTGAAAAGCATTAGTGCCAATGTGTAAACAAAACCAGAAATCTAGCTATCCTCCATCACTTTGCCATTAGTGTTTTTGCTTTATCCCTTCACAATCATTATTTATTGTTCTCTTACAGAAGGCAACAGACTACTGCAGAAACTGTCCTTAGATGGGAACCCCAAACCTATACATGGAACAGCAGAGAGGTCAGATGGCCTACAGTGGTCAGCTGAGCAGCCTTGTAACCCAAACAAGCCTAAGGCAAAATCATCTCCTGTTAAGTCTAATGTCCCTGCAGCTCATCTTGAAATAAAGCCAGATGAGCTGGCAAAGAAAAGAGGTAAAGTGATTTTCTTTTGCTCAAATGATTCAGTGTATTCTGCACAGACAGAAAAGTGCCACAATGTCCGAACTTTCTAGAAGATACTGCTTATTGAAGAGGGATATACATGAAATCCAGTTTCTTCGTTTCTGTGTCCCACTTAGACGCAAAGGCAGATGTGGTTCTTGCCATGGTAATCGAAAGTCTAGAGTGTTAAAGTGGAATTATGCCCCCTTGTTGGCCCTCTGTGACCACACTCCTTGTGGGCATGGATAAGTATCCATTTACCTGTCACTTACAAAGCAAGTGTTAGTGCAAGGGCTGACGTTTCCCAGAGAAGTAAGTTCCAGATGTGCATGGATGGAGATGGGTCCAGAGCCTGGTTGTCTTTCTTAGGGATGACCATCCCTGTGTGAACACAGTTCTGTATTAGAACCTTCAGACAATACAGCACTGAGAGAAATTTATATTTGACACACACTGGATTTTTAGTTGTCAAACCTTGGTACCTCTGACTCATAACCTTAGAAATGAAAAGCACAAAACCATTTACTTTCTGATTCCCAGACTAAACAATACCTCACTGCTTCAGCTGTATTTGATTTCCTTGGCTTTGGTTTGATACACTCATTCTATTTTCTTGAGGGAGATTTCTTGTTTTTGAGAAACACACTCTTGTTGAGATAAGAGCAATCTTGTCTTGTTAGCCATGAAAGCTATATACCCTGGTGAGAGTTACAGGAAGTCAGGCGAGATGGGCACCCAAAGAGCTGCTTTTAACACTGCTGCTGTAATTCCAGGCCTGGCTCAGGACTGCTGGGCAGGAGCCAGTGTACGTGGCACCGATGACCCAGCCTCTCTTGTTCATTTGTACCTCTCCCAGTCTCTGTGTCATTTTCCTCCTCCAAAAGCTTTGCTGGCTTTGAACCACACGCACTGGTTTCTACAGAAGGCACCAGCAGCACAAATGGCCTTTCAGTTCGAAGACACTCTAGTTTACCCAGAACAGAATGATCAGATCTTCTTTCTGAAAAGCAAAAGGACAGGTGTATCTCTAGTGGCACAGCCAGAGCCCTCCCTGGTGAAGCCGTAGCATTCTCAGGGGCTAGGCAGACTACCCTCTCTTAACAGGTTTTTTCTACTAGGAAAAAAAAAAAAAAAAAAAGATGAGTCTCTGGAATGGATTGCTTGCTTTGTTTAGATGTTTAGCCCACAAATGAATGATAAAGTGGTCAAGTTAACTTTTTTTTTTTTCTTGACATCAATTTTAGGCCCAAATATTGAGAAATCTGTGAAGGATTTGCAGCGCTGCACTGTTTCTCTAACTAGATACCGTGTCATGATCAAGGAAGAAGTGGACAGCTCTGTGAAGAAGATCAAAGCGGCTTTTGCTGAATTACACAACTGGTGAGTAATTCAGCTGAGGAACTATAAATTCACAGTGCTTGGGCTGTTCCTATAGTTTGTAAAAACATCAGATGGAAAATATTGTTTATTTAATACGTAAACATCACAGAGCAACTCTCTATAGCCATTTTTTTTAAACTCTGCAGGCAGAAACATATATCTTGGGAATGAAAAAGAAGAGAAAGTATTTGAATGAGAGTAATTCTGATAGATATAATTCACTGAACTTTGAAGTTGTTCTAAAAGCACATGAAAGGTATAAAGTAAAATTCAACAAAGAAAAAAACTCAAAATGATATTGGCAAATCCATGGAAAACTAAAAACATGAATGCTACTAAAATATCCATTTCTATGTCATAAAACTTGCCTAACAAAAAGAAACATCTCATGTGAACTTAATGATACTTAGTGAACTTCTGTTCTGGGGTATCTTTAAAACTAAAATTAAGCAGTGGTGGTTGTATTAGTTTTCTGTCTCGTGGGCATGACAAAATACCCTGACAGAAGCAACCTAAGAAGGCTTTGTTTGGGCTCACAGTTTGTGAGTACAGTCCAGCATGGCAGGAAACCATGGCAGTGGCAGCAGGGGCTTGAGCACCTGTCACCTTGTGTCCATATTTGGGAAGCAGAGATCAAGGAACACTTACTTTCTCATCCTTACTCAGTCCGGGACCCCAACCCATGGACTGATGCCAACCACAGTCAAAGTGGGCCTTTCTGCCTCGGTTAACCTACTCTGGATAATCCCTCACAGGTGTGCCTGGATGCTTGCTCCTGAGTATAGGTCCTGTCAGGTTGACAGTTAACCAACACAGTGCTGCTTTCATTATTGCCTAGTTTGCTTGTCCTTTGCAATATACTAAATGAACCTGTGTCCTTCTTAAAAAACGAAATGTATACACTGATGTGGTTTGGACCCTACCATTCTCTTCCTACAACTATTTTAATAGAATACATTTCTTTTAGCCCTAGACATTTGCTTATATACAGAATTGGAGTGAAATACTAGTAGTAGAATATATGTTATAATTACATAGAAAATGTGCTTGTCATGTCAGTTAGGCCTCTCAGTTTGAAATGAAACTGAAGTCACACTAAAGAGAAAAGAGAATTTATTAACTCGTGTATATAAAAATTCCAGAAAATTCATTTTGACAAATTTACTTCTAAGCTCAAATTATATTATCATACTGTAATCTTTCTGTCTCTATCACAGTCTCTCCTTCCTCCTTCCCCCTTCCTTCCTTCCTTCATTCTTTCCCTCTACTTTCTCATATCTCTTACAATCTCTCCATTCTGTTTATTTTTTACTTCATTCTTAGACAAATACTTGCATGTAGCAGCAAAGGTAACCTCCTACCCCCTTGGCAGCTCCAGGCTTACAAAAGTCTTAGCCTTTGCAATCTGAGCAGTGGTTCCAGCAAAAATCCAAGGGCTAATTTCCATTGGTTGGGGTTGATCATTTATGTCTCTAACCCAGTCACTGTGGTAAAAGCATTGGTCTGCCCACTAGTCTTGTCCAAGCCAAAAGCTTCCCACAGAGTTGACAGTGGGGTGAACCCCCAAATCAACTCCATAGACTGAGAGTTGAAGAGCTGTGGTTTCCCAGCACAAATTCAAGGTGCTCACACCAAAATAAAAGGAAAAATATAAGAGAAAGAAACACCCAGTCACAGTGCCCAGGCTCTTGGAACTTGTCCCCCATGTCTAAGGAGACACACGATATTAGAGTATGATTACACTTTGTGCATATTTTTTCTCATTCCGAGTCCTTGTTTTGACACTGATGTGCTTTTTAACGGAAACTATGGAGTTGTAAAAACTAAAGATTAAGCTTCACACTAACTTAATCTAAAATTCATGCATTTTAAGCCGTCTGCTACAGATAGATCCGAAGGGTGCATAAGACACAAGAAACTTGAAAGAAAACTGTCTTCTTCAGTCACCATTCAATTCAGAGCATCACAGGTCTTCTGTATGAGTGATTCTTTACCTCTCTGCCCCCAGCCATGGTGTCAGTGGAACTCCTCCCTCTTAACCACATTGTAGCTAAACTGTTCAAAGCAAGTCTCAGAAACACATGCGACTACTTAGTGAAAGTAAAGATGCTCTATTGAAGATCAGTATTAATTTGTAGTCATGACTTTTCCAGTCTCTCCTTGAGTTTCCCTATTACTTGTAAGTATACCCAACTTCCTGTTCTCCAGAGCCATGGTCAGTGGTCAACAGTTTATTCCAAAAGGGCCAGCTAATAAATATTTTAAGCATTCTAGGCATATGGTCACTCAGCTCTGCTTCTGTGGCTAAAAGCAGCCGCAGACAATGCTGAAAGGCAATGGGGCCAGGTTGGCTCCTCCTGGGCTACAACTTGCCAACCCCAGTCTGGAGGTGTTAGTTCTCTGCTTGGAGAAGAGCTCTGTGTCCCATCCATGTGTTGTTTTAGAATAAGCCCTTCCTCTGAGAGCCCCATGTAATATTGTCCATCTGACTGACTCATGCACTAACCCACTGAGTGTAGCTCTGACCTCAAATTACCTCTCCTCCAGCTGCTCGGGGTCTTTTTTATTTATTTCATTCTATGTCTTCGTAAAATGAACAGAACATGGATAACGAGGCATCATGAGATTTACGATTCTTTGAGCATTTTACCCCTCAAATGGTAAAAGTGGGGCCAGGAAAGTCAGACTCCAAGGAGGTTGTGTGCATTTGTCTGTTCCAGGTTCCCATTGCACCTAGTGGGGAAGATCAATTCTGAGTCAGCCCTGCCAGGCTGAAAGCCACCATCAGAACAAAAAGGCACTATTCCTCCAAAGTAAGGGAGAGGACACGTAGTCCCACCATTCCATATATGCAGGGGCTACAGAGAGATTATAAATGCCAACACTCAGTTTTTAACCTCTCTCTTAACAAAAACGATCTCACAACAATTGTGTGTTGACTTAAAAAAAAAAAAACCAAAGTACTGTTTTAAACATAACCATTTGTGTGCATTTCTGCCAAGTGGAAAACTTTGCCTCTGCTCCAAAGAAGCCTACAACCCAGCCAGTGTTGTGACGTACTTGGACAAAGCCTCCCTCTTGTTTCCTAAGGGAGAGGAAAGGATGAATTTTAGGAATTGTGGTGCTCTTGAAAAATATCAAGTCACAAAATTGAAGAAAGTAGCTTAGAATAACTTTGTTTTTTGAGTTTCATACATGAGTATTACATTTGCATTATGTTCACCCCTCCCAGTCCTCCTCCCAGTTCCCCCTGTGCCCCGCCCCTCTCCCTCACACCGTCTTCTTCTCTTCTTTGATTATTACACGTACGTACATACATTTTCATATTTATATAAATGTATATAATGCACTGAGTTCATTTAGTGGTGTTCATGTGTACCTGTGTTTAGGGCTGCCCACATAGAGTTAGATAACTTCTCAGGGAGCTCCTCCCTGGAGAAAACAGATTCTCCCTCCCTCAGCATCCATTGGTTGTCTATAGCTCTTCATCTTGAGGTGGGACCCCTTGAGAGTTTCCCCATCCACCTTGGCACGACAACTGGTTTTTTTCATGCAGATCTTGTTAGACTACCATACTGTGGAGATTTCATTCTGCAGCTTTCTTACCACGTCTAGAATGCAGTAACTAGCAGTAGCTGTCTTGTCCCTCCGGCGCTTATGGTCTCTCTGCCCTCTCTTAGTGTTCCCTAAGCCTACAGTATAGAGGTTGCATTGTAGAGATGTCCCTTAGGACTGGGCACCTCACAGTCACTTATTCTCTATATTTTGACCAATTGTGGAACTTTTTAATAGTCTCCATCTGATGCAAAAGAAGCTTCTTTAATGAGTGGTGAGAGGTACGCTTGTCTGTAAATATAAGTATTTTGAATATACTAAATTACATTGGTCTAGGGAAGTAAAAGAGGTGGGTCTATGACATCTTCATTCATGTGTTTACAGTACCAAGCATGAATTCCTTCCCACTGAGCAGGCCTTATGTTCAGTTAGACAGCTGTTGATTACTCCCAAGATAAAAGTGCCTCTATTGCACCAATAGAGTTAATTTGCTGGGCTGGTCATTGTTGTGGTTCATAGACTTTAGAGCAAGATAGGACCATTGATTGGTTTTCTTCCTTGGCAGCTTACATAGTATCTTCTGATACTATGAGAGCTCGTCTTTTGGGGAGGAAGCATTCAGGTTAGTTTCAGCTCGACTGCTCCAAGTCCTGTGTATGTATGCTAGAAGAGCTCTTTAAAAGTTTTCCTATTGATGATATAATCATCCACTCTGGGCATTAGAGGGAGCTGTGTGCACAGCAATACCCATTTAAATACAAGTGAACCTTACGGTCAACCAGAAGGACTATCTAGATTTGGAATACATGAGCCAAGTCCTCTGGTTTTTCTGAAAACATTGCTTGTTCTATAATGGTGGTTCACTCCTGTGGCCCTCTGTGGCCTGAGTGTGAGTCCCACTCCTCATCCTTCTCTCTGGTCCATCCTTAAGGCCACCCAATTCTCACTCCCAAAGTGTTCAGTAGTGTGTCCTTTAGAAATAAATAGAAGCTGTCAGGTAAGAAATTTAAAATGTTTACTTGGCCACCAAAGTGCCAGTTTGAGAACATGACTTATGCTTGACTAAATTCCACCAAAAATCTTGCTGGAGTGTATTGGAATGGTGATTCCAAGAAGTCAGGAGAAAGCCAGAAAGAAAGCCAGGCTGTCGGTACATCCTCAATAGTTAGGACATACCAGAGCCAAATGAGCTGGGTGCTTATCCTTCCCAAGCAGGCTGTGAAGAGCACTTGCTCAATAGTTACTGAAGAAAACCACTAAGCAGCTAAGCTATAACATCCAAATTGGCATTTGACTAGGATATGGTCACATAGGACTAACTGACTGTATGTACGGCATTCAGTTTTCTCAGAAGGAACTGAGGAATTGAGTGGGTCACCACGATGACACAATCCTCTCACAAGATGTCTGAACAGAAAATAAACTTGGCAACACCAATATGAAAA